CCTTCTTCAGTAGATGTATCTATCATGCTGCAGTAGTAAGTCTTGAACTATCGCTATTAAGGTAAAAGCAACTCAATGGCAGTCTGTGTCTGATTCATTATCACACATAGTATCCATTGCAGTCTGTGTCTGATTCATTATCACACATAGTATCTATTGCAGTGCTCTGTACTTAACAGCTATTTGACAAATGACTGCATTCCAATACCATTACCAGTGCTTTTCAATATTGTCTCTATCCAAAACTACTTCCTGAGACAAAATTAATCATATATTTGAAAAAATAGAAATGATTAAATATTATAACTCTCTCACTTTTATATATAATATCATTAGATATCACTAAATCATACTTAAAGTATTTCAGAGCATAAATTAAAATAATGAAATTTGGAGATTAATTAATAAGCCCTCTTCAAAACAAAACAACAAAGTACCTGTCTTATTTAGGGTTTCTATTGCTGTGAAGAGGCAACATGACCGTGGTAACTCTTATAAAAGAAAGCATTTAACTGGGGCTGGCTTACACTTCAGAAATTTAGTCCATTCTCATCATGGCAGGAAGAATGGAGGCATGCCAGCAGACATGGTCCTGGAGAGACAGCTGAGAGTTCTTCATCCAGATCCCCAGGCAGCAGGGAGAGAGTGAGACACTGGGCCTGGCTTGAGCATCTGAGACCTCAAAGCCCACCCCCCAGTGACACACTTTCTCCAACAAAGCCACACCTACTCCAACAAGGCCACACCTACTTCCCAATAGTACCCCTGACTATGGGCCTATGGGAGTCATTTTCATTCATACCACCACAGCACCTTATACCTGATTTCTAAAACCAGTGATATCCTCCATATGAATTCCAAATGGCATGGATTTGTCAATGAACATTTCAACGCAGAATCAGTGGTTAGGTGAGCCTCCCCAGAACCAGTGCACACAAACATGCAGCAGAGATGTGTCATGCACTAAGCCCCAAAGGAATAATCCCAAGGGAGGTCACATTTAGACTCACCCGACTCAAAGGTAGCACATTTCTGTCCTGAGTCTCTGTCACAGATCCTCTGCCCTGACCCATGCTCACGGCCCTACAGCTCTAATTTCCTCATCATTCCCTCTCACCCAGCTGACCTCCACATCTTTGTCATTTGCTTTCTCTTCCTTTGCTGTGTTTTTCTTTCCTGCCTCTTATTTCTCTGTCCCCCTTTCATAGTTTCCAGTCTTAGCACAAGAACACCTCCCCACCAATCCAGAGTGCCCTTCTTCAGGGATCCAACCAAAGCCGTATACCACATAAGAGCTTCAGACCTCAACCAAAACAATCCAGAGTCTTTCCTGTAGGATGTGCTGAGAAACCAGAGATCCCCACCACTAGAGAAAAGTAAAGGCAAAAAAAAGTAAAGTTTATTCCCATCTTGACAAATCTGCTGAACCCCAGGGTCTAGACCTGCTCAGTCCATCACAGCTGTGTCTAACAATAATGTCTTCAAACACAGTAAAGAGTTTCTATACAGTCAACAAATTTATTCAATGTAAATTTCTGCTCTTAAACAATTTTAGGTTTGACTCAGTGATATCTAATGCACCTGTAAATTAAATTATCTGTTAACTGGAGTTAGTCCGGAATTCAGAAGCTATCAAGACAGACATCCATTCTAACTTTACCTGAAAACAGCATCCTGTCCACTAGGAAATGTCACCTGTACTTCACTCTCAATCCTCACAAATAATGTGACTTAAATAGGGGCTCTGACCAGCTGTGGTGGTACATGTCTTTAATATCAGCATCTGGGGCACAAAGGCAGACATGAGCTATATAGTGAGTTCCAGGCCAGCCAGGGCTACAGAGATTCTGTCAAACACACACACACACACACACACACACACACACACACACACACACACACATCCTTAATCTCTCACAGATCACTCAGTCTAGCCACAGGTGAGACTGTACACTTATCCAAAGCTAGATCAACCATAACGCTCACCCTGATGGCCAAAGTTGGTCTACGTATATGTAAGAGCATTTGTTGGAACCTGAGTCAATCACAATCTCCCCTTCCCCCCAGCTTTTTCTAGCTGAAATTTCAAAGAGTAATGTTTCTCAGGTGGTGACAGATGGAGCATTTTAAAGCCTGAGAGTGACCAGCACCCCATGTGACTTGCTATGGATGGTAGAAAAAGTCAGTGTGAAAGAGCTAAGCAAAGATGTAGCCAGAAGCAGAACACAGCATCAGAGAGAAGGCTGAGCACACAGCTCTGCTTGCCACTGGTCCTGGTTCTCTACGACAGCTGCCAAGCTGCTGCTCCTAGTGTGGCTGCATACTAAACCTTCCAATGTATTTGTAGACCTAGGAAAATTCAAGCTATTTTCCTAGAACCTGTATCCAAGGGGATAAACTTGACTTGTTATGAGTAGAGCTGGGAATAATGCAGGAATTACTAATGCACCTGCAGACTCAAGTGTATCTATGTAAGGCTAATACCAGTCGGCTGAACTGCATCTGGAATGACATGACTTAACATTTTCTCCCTTGTCTCTAGGTATAAACTTTGTTCTCCACCAAAAAATGTCTTGTGAGCAAGAATCATACTTCATATATTGTAATGCATGCCTTTGGCGCCCCCCACCATAGCCATGACTACATGTTTTCAGTAGGAACATATTGAGCAAAAAGAGTAAAGATTAGGATACTGTGATTGCCACATAATTCCCTGAAATATCATTAGATCCAAAGTAAAGAGGTCTTGTATTCTACAAAAAAAAAAAAAAAAAAAAAATCCTTCTGTAGACAGTGGTAATTGTGTACTACTAAGATATTGGAGAAAATCATTATTAATCTGATTGTTACTAAAAGATCCTAGGGCTCCAAAAAGGATTTGGTTGGCTGTGGAGAAGCCAGTTTTAATCTGAAATGATAAATCTGACTCAAAAGCTCTACAGAGCAAATCTACCTTTCCCCCTGAGGATTAACTCTAATACATGGCTGCTAGGAATTGAAAACTGAAGAGATAAAAAAACAAAGACCAAGCCTTCTTAAATGTTTTAAACTGTATTTATAAACAAAGATATACACCTATAAATCATATTCTTTGTATGTTGCTGTATGCATTAAAATATTTCTTTCATCAAATTAATAACCAAGTTTACACTGGACTGGTGTCCTGCTGTGGAAGGAACCAGAAATGGATGGTTTGAGGTCAAGATCATCTGACCAAGAGGAGGGTCTAAGGATCCCTCAAACAATAGAAGCAGAGGCAAATGTAAATACAACCTAGCTTGAACATTAGCTTCCCACAGAGGCCACAACCTACCAGCCCGCTGGTTTTCCTTATCTCACTGACTTCCACACTTATGAAGGGGTCTGATTTTTAACACCATAATTATGATAAAGAACATTCATCCTTATTCCTTAAAACTAGAGTTTTAACTAGCTCTAAGTAAAACAAAAGGAAAAAACTAACTGGATTACTCTGCATGGTTATAATCTCTTGAAAGTCTATATATTCACTTTATATATTTATTAAACAGAGCTATTTGGCACAATGCATGACCTTAACACATGTTGATGACAACCAAGAAAATCCTGGTACAAAATGCTCAGCTACATAAAACTTGCCATGAAGTGAGCTTCTAAACACCAGTTCCTCGATAAAACCTTCTGAGTTATTCCACAAAATTATCTGTACATGATTTTTGGAAGTCTCCACTCCAAAGTTCTTCCACTATAAACTGCATTTAATATTTTTTTTGTTGGTGCTGTTTTTTGTTTTTGTTTTTGTTTTTCGAGACAGGGTTTCCCTGTGTAGCTTTGCGCCTTTTCTGGAACTCACGTGGTAGCCCAGGCTGGCCTCGAACTCACAGAGATCCACCTGGCTCTCCCTCCCGAGTGCTGGGATTAAAGGCGTGCGCCACCACCGCCCGGCTGCATTTAATATTCTTAATCAATGTGGGCTAACAAGATGACTCAGCAGATAAAAAAGCTTGCTGAGCTAGCCTGGCTCCAAGAATTCAATCCCTGGAACACAAATGAACTCATACTCCATAAAATTATCTTCTGACCTCTACATATGCACTACAGCTTTATAGCCATAGCATGCACACACCTGAACACACACACACACACACACACACACACACACACACACACACACACTAGTAATAATTAATATAAATTTTTTTTTTTTTTTTTGGTTTTACGAGACAGGGTTTCTCTGTGTAGTTTTGCGCCTTTCCTGGAACTCACTTGGTAGCCCAGGCTGGCCTCGAACTCACAGAGATCCGCCTGCCTCTGCCTCCCGAGTGCTGGGATTAAAGGCGTGCGCCACCATCGCCCGGCTAATTAATATAAATTTTTTAAATGTCATTTTAATCAACAACTCTCTTAAGTAGCATACTAGAATGCCTGGAATCAGTTACATAGATAGACTTTCCTACAAACTGAAACTATACGTTAACTGAGTCACTGAATCTAACCTAAACAAGTCCTGCAACTGTACTATAATTTAATTTGCTTTTGGGGGTTTTGTTTTGGTTTGTTTTGCAAGACAGAATTTTTCTGTGTAGCACTGGCTGTCCTGAAACTCTCATTCTAGACCATCAAACTCGCAGAGATCTACCTGCCTCTGCCTGGGATTAAAGGTGTGAGCCACTACTGCCTGGCTAACTTAGTCTTAAAGAGATGTTTAAACATAGCCACGGTCACAGAAAATGATGTCATTTAGTAAATTTTCTTTAAGTCTTTATTTATAAATCACAGAAAAACCAAAGTACACAGACCCAGAGACCTCCTTGGTTGTTAACTCTATTCACCTCGACTCTGATTATAATAGTTAGTATACTAGAAGCCTCTTAAGGAAAGTTGGCAAGGGGAACGTTTAGTTTCAACAGCTTTGCAACCCTCTCAGGCTCCAGCACAGACACACAGGGAGAGCCCCATTTCCAGTGCGGGAGAAACCGTGGAGCGCGGGCTTCACAGACTAAAGCCGAGTTCATGTTCACCTGCATCGACGATCCTTCCACTCGAGCCACGCAGGCAACCCGGTCCAAGAAAGTGACTGCCACGGGCACGGCCACAAAAAAGCCTTTACACAGGGCCTTCAAGTACCTTCTCAGCCAGCCTTGTGACTGTGCCATGCCTAGGGACACAAGGACAACAGGCAGAAAATTAGCCGAAGAAAACAGATAAAGTCATCAAACCCACAGGAAAACAATAAGAACTGGCCTTACTGGGACTAGGCGGCAGAGTGTGTGCTTAGCAGCCACAAGGCCCTGGGCTGGATCCTCAATGTCAAAGCAACCTGTTTCCTAGCATATTTCAGATCCATACCTAGAACTATTAGGGAAGTCTGCCTTGGGTCCCAAAGGGAAATGCATGAACTCAGGTTATATCTTTTCAGCTTGTCTACTTGGAAATGTCAGTGAAAACGTTAGAAAAATAACCATTCCAAAAGTAAATCCTTTTCTACTGCTCTAACAGTAAAGAAACACAGTCTTATTTCCCTAACAGAAGTTCAGAGAGACGTGGTTACCCAGCTAAAAGGAATTTCTGAGCCTCTCTTACTGATGTGACCATGTGACTAGGTGTGGTCAATGCCATCAGCGGGTATTTCAAATTCCCAGAGTGTACCCTCAAAAGCAGTACACCTTCCTCTCTCCCCACATTCTGAACACAAAGGCAACATTGTAATGGTGGTATACCCCTCCCTACCAGGCAATGCTTCCCTGATATATTTATTACACCCTTTCCTACACCTTTACCCATGCACACCCCTGTGATAGTCCATGTACTAAGGATAACTGGTTCACATCACGTGGCAGTGGGGATTGTCTGTGAAAAACAAGATGGCAGGCCCCGCAAAGCCAGGCCGGTTCAAACTGACTCTGCTACCTACTATCTTTCTAGCTAGCTGTCCCTTCACCTTCATACGGGCATGCTCTAATTATGATACATTTCCAGAGCACATGACAGTTTACAATTTTCACAACATCCTGGGAACCGCCAAACAAAGGTCAGGTGGAAGGGGAACAGAACTCCCGGAGTGGAACCCTCCTGGAGAAGGTATAAACATTCTGTCCCCTTCATGAACACCTAACCCCTCACTTCCTTCACTGCTAGGACTTAGAGGTGGGGGAATGGACCCCAGAACCTGTCCCCCAGATCCTGCTATTCACTGGGCACTGAAAAAAAAAAAAAAAAATCCTATCTCTTCACTTAACCTGTGTGGTTCCTGGCTCAGCTTAAGGCCTGGAGAAGCAAGATTTGGCTCTGCAAAAGTTGATTAGTAGTAGAGACAAAAATAGCCATCTCCAGCTCCAAATGAAAACTGTCAGTCTGCCACGTACCAAACTCAAAAGGCCTACGCCCAACCCCGTGACGGCGGCTTACCTGTCCTGCACCATCTTCACCCAGGAAATATACCACTGCCTATCATTTTAAAACCGGAAAACAGTCCTAACACAAGGAAGTCTATGACAGATCAGGGTGGAAATTGCTGCATGAGAACTCAATACACAGACATACCTCCCCTGGCCTATAATCATGTGATTAACAGATTTCCTGGGGTTCAGGAGATTCCCCCTCACTGTCTCATACAATGAAAAGGAATAGTGAACGATCTAGAGATGCCATCCTGCTGGGCCAATGGAACCAGCCGTGCAAATAAAGAACGCCCCTGCATAAGAAAGAGTATCACATCGGCTCACTGTTGCATTTACACAAGATCCAGATACAACTCACCACCAGAAGGCACGGGCAAAGGAAGAAGATGGGAGCGTCACAGAGAACTCTTGAATTGTTTTTCTTTTTAATAAAATCGTGAGGCCCCTTCAGCCCTAAACCTACAAATCAGCTTGCTTCCCAGGAAAGTTAAGGTTTCTGGTTCTCCTGAGACTGGGTCCAGAAGGGGTGAGAAATGCAGTCAGACCAAGTGTCTGCAAGAAAGGCCCAGGCCAAGACTTAATTTGGACTTTTCTTCTTTTCTTCTTCTTTTTTTTAAGCTGCCAAAAGCCACACACACACCAATGCTATGACAATATTCATGTCATAGATGTGGCAAGAAGCAAACACTAGTGAGACCTAGAAGTGTCCTGGTGTATGCTGTACCCCACAGTGAGGACCCTGGGAGTGTCCTGGTGTATGTATAAACCGTACCCCACAGTGAGAACCTTGGGAATGTCCTGGTGTATTTATAAACTGTACCCCACAGTGAGAACCCTGGGAATGTCCTGGTGTATGTATAAACCGTACCCCACAGTGAGGACCCTGGGAGTGTCCTGGTGTATGTATAAACTGTACCCCACAGTGAGGACCCTGGGAGTGTCCTGGTGTATGTGTAAACTGTACCCCACAGTGAGGACCCTGGGAGTGTCCTGGTGTATGTGTAAACTGTACCCCACAGTGAGGACCCTGGGAGTGTCCTGGTGTATGTGTAAACCGTACCCCACAGTGAGAATCCTGGGAATGTCCTGGTGTATGTGTAAACTGTACCCCACAGTGAGGACCTTGGGAGTGTCCTGGTGTATGTGTAAACTGTACCCCACAGTGAGGACCCTGGGAGTGTCCTGGTGTATGTGTAAACTGTACCCCACAGTGAGAACCCTGGGAGTGTCCTGGTGGATGTGTAAACTGTACCCCACAGTGAGAATTCTGAGAATGTCCTGGTGTATGTATAAACTGTACCTCACAGTGAGAACCCTGGGAATGTCCTGGTGTATCTGTAAACTGTACCCCACAGTGAGGACCCTGGGAATGTCCTGGTGTATATATAAACCGTACCCCACAGTGAGGACCCTGGGAATGTCCTGGTGTATGTGTAAACTGTACCCCACAGTGAGGACCCTGGGAATGTCCTGGTGTATATATAAACCGTACCCCACAGTGAGGACCCTGGGAGTGTCCTGGTGTATGTGTAAACCGTACCCCACAGTGAGGACCCTGGGAATGTCCTGGTGTATGTATAAACTTTATGTGTAAACTGTACCCCACAGTGAGGACCCTGGGAATGTCCTGGTGTATATATAAACCGTACCCCACAGTGAGGACCCTGGGAATGTCCTGGTGTATATATAAAAACCGTACCCCACAGTGAGGACCCTGGGAATGTCCTGGTGTATGTGTAAACTGTACCCCACAGTGAGGACCCTGGGAGTGTCCTGGTGTATGTGTAAACCGTACCCCACAGTGAGGACCCTGGGAGTGTCCTGGTGTATGTGTAAACTGTACCCCACAGTGAGAACCTTGGGAATGTCCTGGTGTATGTGTAAACTGTACCCCACAGTGAGGACCCTGGGAGTGTCCTGGTGTATGTGTAAACCGTACCCCACAGTGAGGACCCTGGGAGTGTCCTGGTGTATGTGTAAACCGTACCCCACAGGACCGTGTTTTAGATGACTGGAGCTGTCTGGAGGAGGCTGTAGAGGAAAGAAGTCACTCTGTCAGCTGCTGAGGTTCAGTCTCACGCCTGTCCTCTCTCTCCACTCTGCTTCCTCTGCCCCATGACGAGAGCTCCACCTGTCGACCCACACTGAAGCTGGAATCAGAGCAAACCTTTCACCCCTGAGCTGTTTAATGTCAGGTATCGGCCATGACACTAACATGACAAGAAAAAAGAACCTGAGGAACTCTTGATGACAAAAAAAGAAGGGAAAGAGGGAAAAGGTGAAATTAGCATTACCAAAAAAGTAAATGGGGACAAGAAAGGATAATGGGTGAATGCATTATACACACGCATGAAAATGTCTCGATGAAGCCCAATATCACATATTAATTAGTATATACTAATAAAGAACATTTAAAAACCAGAAAAGTGACAGTCAAACTCTTTCTGGATACTTATTTCTCAGGACTTTCTTTGGTAAACTATATAATGGAAAACTTGAAGATTTAATTTAACTTTTAAATTAATTGTATATTGAGAGAAGAGGGTGTGCACACACACGCAAGTGCCTGTGAGACCAGAGGCCTCCAAACCACTGAAGCTGGAGTTACAGTGGGTGTGAGCCCCCTGCTATGAGTGCTGGGAACTGAACTCAGGTCCTCTGCAGGAGCAGTGGGTGCTCTTCCAGGGAGCCATCTCTCTCCAGTCCCTGAACCATGTAATCTATCCACGACCTTGAGGCAAGAAAGAGGAGCTTGTGAATAAAGAATGACAAAAACTGATGTACTCATGGATCTACCTGTTAAGTCTAGGAGACGGCCTCATTTCATCTTGAAGGAATTACTCCTTTGTGAGATTACTAGAGAGACGTGTGGATTGACAGCCCATTGTTTTTCAGAATGTAACAGAACAAAACATTCTCCAGTTATCTACCTAAACAGCTTTCAAACACTGGCCACATACAACATGAAGAAACACTGCTTCCAATCCAGCATTCCTCACACACATGCACATTTATACAAATGCACACACCAAAGAAAGCAGCAGCTAAAAAAACACAAAACAGCCGTTATCCAGAGTCTGTTATATTTAATTAAAAAAAAAAAAGAAAAGAAAAAGAACACTAGCTGGCCATGGTAATGCACACCTCTAATCACAGCACTTGGGAGGCAGAGGCAGGATTTCTGTGAGTTCAAGGCCAATTTGGTCTACATGGTGAGTTCCAGCCTAGGCAGGGTCACAGAGTGCAAGCCTGCTCCAGAACAAAAATGAACTGTTAGGTATAAATAAAGAAAGTGTTTTCTATCATCTACTCAAGGATCTAACTGATAGATGGATATCTTCTTAGTAATGAACTCCCTGTGAGAACCGTCACTATACCACTCAGGGGAAACTACCTTACATGGACTGGTTCCTGTGTAATAACTGGAACTGACAGTGGTAGATATGGATGTGTGCATGGTAAAAAATGAAGACCAGTAAAGTTTTTATGACTTTCAATATATATTGCATAATCCTAACACTCACCCCAACCTGTAATCCGTTATATCAAACGGAAATAAATGTAACTGCAGACTAACTTTAGAAAATAAGCAATTTAAAAAACATATTTTCATTCTAACTTATCCACCAACTGTAATATTAAGTAAAATTATGTATGAGTCCCTACATCTGGTACCCAAAGCAGGTGTCTGGCCCAGGATGCTGAATGTTTCCATGAGCAGCTTCGACAGCTGCATCAATGAAATCGGAAGCCCATT